GACATGAAACAGGGACTGGACAGAGCAAGCTGCGTCCATGTTCCTGCCAGCGGCACAGTCTTGGGAAGGTTGCTCACACTCTCTGCTTTACCCTTCTTATCTGTAACATGGAATTCTGATTATTTGAAATGATATATGTGATACGATTAGGGTAGTAACCACTTGATAAATGGCAGCTATGTGTTTGGTTTTTTTTTTTTTTATTGGCATGTGGGATCTTACTTCCCCATCCAGGGACTGAACGCGAGCCCCCTGCATTGGAAGCTTGGAGTCTTAACCACTCGGTCACCAGGGGCGTCCCATGGAGGCTCTTCCTAGAGTCATAAGGCAAACATACATCAAGTCAGTGGATTATTCTTATTTTTTAAGTGGGCTTCCCTGGAGGCTCAGACAATAAAGAATCTTCCTGCAATGCAGGAGACCTGAGCTTAATTCCTGGGTGGGGAAGACCCCCTGGAGAAGGGAATGACTGGCTACCCACTCCAGTATTTCTGCCTGGAGAATCCCATGGACAGAAGCCTGGTGGGTCATGGTTCACGGGGTCGCGCAGAGTCAAATGCAACTGAGAACCAACAGTAGTTGACGAGCCGGACACGACTTAGTGCTCATGCGCACACACATGCATGTGCACACACATGCGCGCGCACGTACACGCATGCACGCACACACACTCACACGCATACACACATGCATGCACACACGCACACTCACTCACACACATGCAGGCACACACGCACACGAACACACACACGTGGAATCTGAAACATGGCACAGATGGCCCTATCTGAAAAACGCTCAGAGACGAGGCGAACAGGCGGCGTGTTACACCCTCGTCTCAGCTTCCGTGGCCCGTCTTTGAGGAGCGCTTGCTGGAATCACCCAGCTCTGAGTCGGAACCCCCTGCGGCCTGAGGGCAGCGACCGACCTTCTGCTGTTAGGTGCTGTCCTCCGGGCCCCGCTCCGGCTCATTGCGCGTGACAGCCGGGACTCCCGCAGCCCCAGCCCAGAAGGGGCGCCACTGCGGCTCCTGAACCCGACTCTGGAGAGACCTCCTCTTTGGTTTGGCCTTCTGGGCTGGTTAGGCCAATATTTCAGGCTCCTGGTTACAGTGGGTACTGAGGCCCTGCCCTTCTGGGTTTATGTCACTGTAGCTTGAGACTCGGGGAAGAGCGAGCTATTCCTCTCTCTCTGGGTCAGAAAATTCCAGGTTTGAGGGGCTTTCCTGGTGGCTCAGTGGTAAAGAATCCACCTGCTGATGCAGGAGACACGGGTTCGATCCCTGGTCCAGGAAGATCCCACATGCTTCAGAGCAACTCAGCCTGTGTGCCCCGACTACTGAGCGTGAGCTCTCCATCCCGGGGGCAAAATTACTGAAGCCCGTGCGCCCAAGAGTCTGTGCTCCACAGAAAGCCACCCAGGGAGAAGCCCTCCCCCTGCAGCTAGAGAAAAAGCTGGCGCAGCAATGAAGACCCCGCGGTCCCCAACGTAAGCAAGTAAAATACACACAAGGAGAAGGTTATGTCTGAACAAAACTATATTAAGAAAAAGAATTTGGGGAAAAAAAGGAAAAGAGAAGGGGATTCCAGGTTTGGGTTCAGAATCGCCATGCTCGGGTCATGGGTCGTGGCCCAGCCATTATGGAGGGGTCTGTGCGGCTCTGCTGGGCCCAAGTCTGGGTGGCTGGGTGTCGGGGCAGGGAGCAGGAGCCCACAGCCCCAGGGAACCCCCGTTAGCAAGTGCCCAGGTGCTGTCAGACGAATGTCTGCTTTCAGGCGCAAGGAAGCTTCACAAGCCCAGAAGTCAAAGTCAGGATCATCCTTCTGGGGAATAAGAGCTTCTGAGATAGGGCTTCCCTGGTGGCTCAGTGGTGAAGAATCTGTCTACCAGCGCAGGAGATGTGGGTTCGATCCCTGGGTCGGGAAGGTCCCCTGGAGAAGGGACTGGTAACCCACTCCAGTGTTCTTGCCTGGAGAATCCCATGGACAGAGCAGCCTGGTGTCCATGGGGTCCCAAAGAGTGGGACACGACTGAGCGACTCTCACTGGCTTTTGTGACAGTGGTAGGCTTTGAAGTTTAGGTCAGAACTCGGAAGGGTGGGAAGAGACCGGCTGTGCAAGCTGAGCTCCAGCCGAGGGAGGTGTCGGCCGACAAGATGCCTGCGGTGGGGGATGGCAGAGGCAGGGCTGGGAGGTGCTCCAGGACCCCGTCCTGTTGGGGGATCTTTGGGGATCTGTAGCGTGGTGTGTTCATTGACAGGAGCCACGGTAACCAAGCCCCTCAAACTGAGTGGCTTAAAACACCAGAAATGCCTTGTCTCATGGTTCAGGAGGCTGGAAGCTAGGGGTGAAGGTGCTGGCAGGGCCTCGCCCCCTCTGAAGGTCTAGAGGATGCCCCTCCTCACCTCTCCGCCTCCCGGTGGCCGTGGGTGTCCCGAGCAGGTCCAGCCACGACCCGCAGGCAGGTGGCGATGCTCTGAGAGAAGCTGGTGCCTGGGAACCAGCTGGGAGCCCAGCGATCAAGCGAGGGCAGGGAGGCTTCTTCCAACCCCAAGGGATGGAGGGTCAGGAGGAAGTGCTGGCTGGGTGTGAAGGCAGAGCCGGGGCCCCGGACTCCCTGGGAGCAGAGCGCGGCCGCACCCAGCACACACGGACCCCACGATGTGGGCGCCCCTGCCCTCACTCTGCCAGGTGGAGGCATCGCCCACCTGCTTGAAGAGCGTCGGCACAGGCCCAGGCCCGTGCTTTCAGACGGCACGGCTGGGGCCTCACGGGGCACATCTCTGCCCCCGGGGGCTGCTGCTCCTTGGCCATGTGCCCCCATAAAATCTGGTGTCCGGGAATTCCCCCATCTTCCAGGGCCGAGGCCTGGTCTCTTTAGCAAGACTCACCGTGTTCACAGGAGCAGAGAGGGCGGGGACATCGCCCACTCTGCACGCACTGGGTGGTGCCCACCGTGTGCTGGACTGGGGGCCAGAGGGGGAGGGCCGCTGTCCCACCATCTCTGCCCTGGTGCTGACCTGCTGAGTCAGCCGTCCTCAAAGTCAGTGGCTCGCAACAGCCACCACTTGATTGTAGGTCGTGATGCCAGGGGTCAGACATCTAGGCATCTCTTGAGTGGGCAGTTCTTTTCCACCTTGGGTTGACTGAGGCCACTCTGGGGAGATTCAGCAGGCAGACAGCTGGGCTGGGAGGTCCAGGTGGCCTTGCTCGAACGCGTGATGCTTAGACGCCGATGACCTCACCTGGCGTCGTGGACCGCAGCAGCTATGACCATCCAGGCAGCCTTGGGGTACTTAATTTCTCACATGGCAGACAATACTTTCATCACCTCATCGGTACGGAACCTGGTTTTACCTGTGTTTCTGTTTAAAGACATCTCATTAAATATGTGCGTCAAAGTCATTCAGTCGTATCTGACTCTTTCTGACCCCATGGAGCCCACCAGGCTCCTCTGTCCACGGGATTCTCCAGGCAAGAACACTGGAGTTGGCTGCCCTGCCATTTATCAGGGGATCTTCCCGACCCAGGGATGGAACCCGGGTCTCGTGCAGTGCAGGCGGATTCTTTACCATCTGTGGTGGCGTGGCTCAGCTTCCCTGCTGACTCGGATGGTGAAGAATCTGCCTGCAGTGCGGGAGACCCGGGTTCCGTCCCTGGGTCGGGAAGATCCCCTGATAAAGGGCAGGGCAGCCAACTCCAGTATTCTTGCCTGGAGAATCCCATGGACAGAGGAGCCTGGCTCTTTCTCCATGGAGGCTATAGTCCATGAGATTGCAAAGAGTTGGACATGACTGGGTGACTTATTTAATACATATTTGATTCATTGACATTGAACTGAAGGTCAACAGCACCATGCTTATTGTGAATGAAGCTTGTCTGACACATGCATTTTCTCCATAAGGCCCATCACAGCCTTCTCAAGCTTAGACATGCTGGCCAGACCTTGAGTATTGAGCTTGGGATTGTTTTAAGCAGTAAAATCATCAACAGAAAGAAAACTGTTGAAAAACCATGGCACTGAATTGCCTGTGACAAGGAAGACACTTGCTTGGCGTGTGAGAGCCATGAGTATTGATTTTGGGGTTACAGGTACTTTGAGTAGGTGAATTCAAAATATACAATCTGCAGATAAAGGGGATATGCAGTCCATTCAATATGTTGGATTAAATCTAGTTCAGTTAGCTATGTGACCTTGGATTAGTTGCGTTATCTCTGTGGGCTTCATTTTCTTTTTCGGGTAGGTCACGTTGCAAAGCTTGTAGAGTCTTAGTTCCCCAACCAGGGATTGAACCCATGTTGCTTGCAATGGAAGTTAAGGAATCTTAACCCCTGGACCACCAGAAAAACACCAGTGGGCTTCATTTTCTTTGTTGTTGCTGTTGTTCAATTGCTAAGTCGTGTCCCAGTTGCTCAGTCTCTGCGACCCTATGCACTGCAGCACACCAGGCTCCTTTGTCCTCCTCTGTCTCCTGGAGTTTGCTCAAATTCATGTCCATTGAGTTGGTGATGCCATCCGACCATCCCATCCTCCGTTTCCCCCTTCTCCTCCCGCCTTCAATCTTTCCCAGCATCAGAGTCTTTTCCAAGGAGTCAGCTCTTCACATCAGGTGGCCAAAGTATTGGAGCTTCAGCTTCAATGTCAGTCCTTCCAATGAATATTCAGGGTTGATTTCCTTTAGGATTGACTGGTTTGATCTCCTTGCAGTCCACGGGACTCTCAAGAGCCTTCTGCAACACCACATTTTGAAAGCATCAGTTCTTCAGTGCTCAGCTTTCTTTATGGTCCAATTCTCACATCCATACATGACTATTGGAAAAACCATAGCCTTGACTAGACGGACCTTTGTTGGCAACGTGATGTCTCTGCTTTTTAATATGCTGTCTAGGTTTATTGTTTACCTGCCCCACACCTGGATATCTTGGCGCACCTCCCCAGCACTGGGCCCCAGGTGACTGCTGTTGTTCATGTCTAGACCCCCCCATCACTCTTCTCTCCCCCAGGTTCGTGGATTTCCACGCGGCGGCCTCCACCTGCTCACCCTCCCGGGCGGCCCTGCTCACCGGCCGGCTGGGCCTCCGCAATGGAGTCACTCACAACTTTGCAGTCACGTCCGTGGGGGGCCTTCCACTCAACGAGACCACCTTGGCCGAAGTGCTGCGGGGGGCTGGCTACGTCACGGGGATGATTGGTAACGTGACCTCCGCCGCCTGGACCCTGTCCCTTGCGCTTGCGGTGCTGGCTGCTTCCTTCGTCTGCTGAGCCATCTCTTCTGTTGAGTCCGCTTGTGTGTTCATTTCTTGCTGTGGAAACTGGAAATGCTTTCAGCTCTCAGTATCAATAATTGGAAAGACCTAACAGTAGACTAGGGCTTCCCAGGTGGTGCTAGTGATAAAAATCCACCTGCCAGTGCAGGAGACCCAGGAGGCTGGGGTTTGATCCCGGGGTCGGGAGGATCCCGTGGGGGAGGAACGGGGAACCCACTGCAGTGGTCTTGCCTGGAGAATCGCACGGACAGAGGAGCCTGGTGGGCTACAGTCCACGGGGTTGCAAAGAGTCGTGCATGAGTTAGCGGCTGAGCACGACAGTGGACTAAACCTCCGTCAGAACTAGTTCCTCCCACCCCTCCCTACAGCGGCCAAGGCAACCCAGCATCCCAGGGGCATCCTCAGTCCACCTGCGCTCTTTTATAATTGGAGGACAGCCGCGTTACAGTGCCGTGGAGGCCTCCGCAGTACGTGGCCTGGAGTCGGTCACACTTGCACACATGCCCCCTCCCTCTTGAGCCCCCACCCCATCCCGCCCCTCGGGGTCAGCAGGGCAGGAGCTGAGGTCCTGAGCTGCCGAGCGGCCTCCCACTGGCTCCGTCACACGCGGCGTGCGTGCGTCCGTGCTGGCTTCTCAGTCGTCCCTGCCTCTTTCCCCTGCTCTCCATCTCTGTGTCTCCGTTTCTTCTCTGTACAGAGTGAAGTCAGAAAGAGAAAAACAATTACCGTGTGTTAACGCCTCTGCTTTTTCTCCTAACTCTCCGCGGGTCGCGCAGGATTCCCGCCTCCCTCCCCTCCTCCGCACAGTGACGTGGCAACGAGGGTCCCGTGAGGATGTCCTTGGGGCCTGCAGGAAGCAGGAGTTTCTGTGTGTCGGCTCGACCCCTGCTCTGGGTCAAGGAGTCTGACACATGCTTCAGACCATCAGACTAGAGTGGTGGTCTTCACTGTCCGTGAGGATGAGCCCCAGGCCGCAGGAGGAGGGACCCTTAAGGCTCCAACCTGCTCTCCTTTCGGCCCCTTGTCTCCACGCCTGGAGGCCCTGATCCCGGTGAGGCTCTCAGTGTGGGCTGAGCATCCTCGGAGTGGGTCCTTGCATCCGCGTGACTCCCAGCCCGGGGAGGGGCTTTGGTCCCTGGGCCAGCTGACCCTAAGACGGGGGTGGGGGGTGGGGGTGGCGTGGGTTCTTCTCAAGCTGGATTGGATCGCACTTGCCCCTCCCTCTTCATGCCTTTCAACCCCAAGAAGGCAACTGATTACAGATCAACTATTCACCGCTCACTATACCTTCTTCTGTTTTTTTCTGGGACAAGATACCAAAGCATGTCTCCTTGTTGAGACTATGACTTTCCCCAGAAGCACACTTACAGGGAAAATTAAAAGCCTGCTGAAGGAATATTGAGTCCACTGACACCATGATCTCCTTGCTTATAATCTTTTTACTTTTTTTTTTCGCTTGTGTGGGGTCTTAGTTGCAGCATGCAAGATCTTTAGTTGTGGCATGCAGACTCTTAGCTGTGGCCTGTGACATCTTAGTTCCCTGACAGGGATGACCTTGAGCGCCCTGCATTGGGAGCTCAGAGTCTTAGCCACTGGACGACCAGGGAAGCCCCTGTTTGCTCCTAACCTTGATCTGTGTTAATGGGTTTTTCCTTAGTTGTATACCTACCTCTTGGTCCTACTTTTCTGCCCTTCCTATTATTTTACATTTCCTGGTGGTGTAATTTTACATATTTACTATCATTTTAGAAAGAATTTTAAAATTGTACTATGTCTATATTTCCACATCATACTGAACCTAAGAAGTCTATCTAATGCTTAATCCACTTCCCTTAACTTCTTATTACATAATTTCCTCCAAACCTTTAGACCAGTTGCTAGAAGGGACTCCCCGAGCACTGCCCCTACCCCTGCTCATATACACTTTCTGTAGAGGCAGCAGGTCTTTATTTGGGCTGCATGCATGCGTCTAAAGAAGATGGGTCGGAAGCATTTCATGGAGGCCACGTGAGAGCATGTACTGAGCCAGACTCCTGCGGTTGCCTGTTCATTTCCGCCCTTCATGCTGCTTCACACTCCGCCGTTTCGGTCTCCGCACCGCACCTTCTCTTCGTCCCCTCGCCGCCTGGGTTCGTCACAGCAGGGTCGGCAGGGCAGCGAGTCCCGGGCTCGCCACGCGTCCGCACCGCCCCCCTCCCCGCACGCTCACAGGCGGGAGCGCAGTGCGGTGCGGCTGACTTTTCCGATCTGCCTGCCGGCTGCAGGGCCGCGGGGGGGCGGGCCCCGGCCCCTCGCTCAGCCTCTGTAGGCGGCTGCTGCTGGCCAGGGAGGAAGGTGATGAAACCAGGTGTGAGCAGCATCTCTGGGGCCACGTGGGCACTGCACCTGCTCCCCGGTCCTTGGCAAGGTCCCCAGCGCGGGGCCAGGGCGGCCCGTGATGGGGGGTGCTGCCGTGGGCTCTCCACCCTCACTGGGGGTGGAAGCCCAGCCTGCTCGCTCCTCTGGGCTCCTGGTAGCCCGCCTTCCCCTTCCCTGGGCCACTTCCCGAATGAGCCCTGAGTCATCCTGCCTCGCTTTCTGTCTCCCTGGGGACTCCCCCTCTGCCCCGAGAGCCAGGCTGGGGGTGGGCGCAGCGCAGCCTCTCTGCCTGCCTTCAGGGAGGAGACCCCAGCGTGCGCTCAGCGCCCCGCGGGCTGGGCCGCTCGGGAACTCCTCTGAGAGCCTCTCTCTCGTCTTCCTGCAGGGAAGTGGCATCTTGGGCACCATGGCTCTCACCACCCCAGCTTCCGTGGTGAGGATTCCCCGGGGGACCGGTTACCTGGGAAACAGAGGTGTCTGTGTGAAAAGACTCATCGGGTTCAAGCCGTCCGGGTCCTGGGCCGCCTCTCTCCTGAGTCAGGACATCCTCGTTCACAGGGTCACTTGGGGGGTCTGGGGCACCCGGGTGCCGCTCCTCTCACGTGCCTCTTGCCTGGCCCTTGTCCTGGCCCCCCTCTGTCTCCCCTCGGGCCCCCTCATCGCAAGGCCATCAGCATTTTCCTTGACCCCGTTCTCCCATGTCGGGGAACAGTGGCCCCCGTGAGGTCCCGTGTGGTGAGAGGTCAGATTGTCTGAGGGGTTCGCTGGAGCAGGGACTGGGGGGTGGGTAGGGAAGTTCTGTGAAAACATCACACTGAAGCTTGTGCTGCAGAAGGTGTAGGGTGAGTGAAGGGGTCTCAGAAAAAAGTCAACTCGGGGTTTTCAGGTCTCACTTTGACCCTCACATCCTCTCCCGGTCCCAAGTCCAATCCTGCCAGCCCTCAGCATCCAGCTGAGACGCCAGCTATTTTGAGAAGCATTTTGAGATTCCCATCTCAACCCCAGCCCCACCCCACCCCCCAGCATCCTGGGGTGCCTCCCTCTGATGTCTCTTGCTGGCTTCCTGGGAAGCTTGCTCTTCAAGCTAAATCTCTATTTCTTATCTCCTCTTCAGATGGGAAGTTTCTTGAGGGCAGAATGTCTTCTTTTGTCCCTCAAAGTGTCGTGCAGGGAGTAGATTTGCCCCAGATATTTCCTGCTGTGTCCAGGACTGCACTGGGCATGGTAGGAGTCCAGGGATTCTCCCTGCTTCCCTCCCCTTCGGGTTAACTCTAATCACAAGATGTTTTGCAAATCTGGTCTTGCAGCCGGCCAGGAGCCAGCAACATGTTTTCCTTGCATACTTACTGAGGGATATTCATCAAATCCTCTTTTAATTACACACTCATAACACTGCAGAGTTAAATCATGGAAAATTAAATTTCTGTCCTGGGTGTAAGCACGCAGGCCCGCAGTCTGACCGGTGCTTCTGTTCCAGGCTTTGACTACTACTTTGGGATCCCCTACAGCCACGACATGGGCTGCACTGACACCCCTGGCTACAACCACCCCCCCTGCCCGGCGTGTCCCCGGGGCGACAGGCCATCCAGGTAACTCTGGCCAAGGTGTCGGCTCTGGGCTTCAGAGCAAGGGGAAGTCCCGGGGGTGTGGTCCATCCAGAGGAGACAGAGAGGCCGGGAAGGACCAGTAACCGCAGCAAAGGAAGGTCGTATACCTTTAGTGCGAATCTTAGATGCATCATGTGCGTGGCGGGCAAGAACACTTTCTGTGGAGATGAGGGGACAGCACTTTTTTAATTGGAATTTTCCAGTTTCCTTGGGCTGTTGAGCTCAGTTGGGGGGAGGGGGTGCTACCAGGTCTCACGCGGGTGGCCTCCCCTCTCTTGTCCTGGACCACGCACCTATCCCGCCAGGGGACAGAAGGAGGGAGACAGGAAAAGTGCATAGGGCTGCTGGCGCGCCCCACCCCCGCCCGCAATAAGGCGGCGTCCCAGCCTTGGAATGCCGCGCAGGCACTCAACAGGATGCTTTCAAAACGTATTCAGTGAAATGGGGAAGTGCTCACAATAGAATAGTAAGTGAAAAAAGCAGGAAACAAATCATCAACACAGATCCGAACTGCGTCTGTATTTACACCTCTAATAGCCCCAGAGGAAATACGCCAGAATGGCGACCATGGTTCATTCAGTCCTGCTGTGCCATTAAGAAGTTTTCATTTTTTTTCTCTCTCATTGTATTTTTCCAATGTTCTGTAATCTGCACGCAGTACGTTTCCTATCAGAAAAAGGCGATATACCGTAATCAGGTGATAAAGCCAGGTGCTCTGCTTGTTCAGAGCGTGCACCACGGTTATTTGCAAGGTTCGCAGGCGTCTGGGCTGCTTGGGGCAAGTGAGTCTCAGATGGCTTATTAATAACACAGTAGTTAGTGTAATAACGGCCATTTATTGAGACACTGTTACCATCTAAGCTCCCTGCGTGCTGATCTGTCGTCTGTGTGACCATGGACCAAGGCAAGTGTTTCTCCTGATTGTCCAGGGACGGCGCTTACCTCGTGGCCCAGGTCACAGTGGGGCCGTCAAGGGAAACTGGAGAGTCCTCCTGGGTCCCCCTGAGTTGAGGGGGGAGGTCAATGGGAAAAGTCAGGCTACTGATTGGCTCTGGGACTCTGCTTGAGTATCTCAGTTTGTTTAGACCTCAGTTTCTCTCCCAGCAAAACAGGAATAATAACACCCTAGCTCAAAAAAGTCATTGGGAGCCTCATACAGCGGCCGGGCCTGCCCAAGAAGTGCACATTTCTGCTGGAAGGGAGTGGAAGGTGTTGTATCAGCTTTACACTCAGAGGAAGTGGGAGGCTGGAAAAACCATCTGGGCCAGGCTGCTCGGTGTTTTGTATTTATGTGCATCGCCGCATCACGGCATTTTGTCCAACTCCATGACTACCCGGGTCGTGGGAATGAGTGTTCTACCATCTGTGGTTTCCACACAGGAACCTTGAGCGGGACTGCTACTCTGACGTGGCCCTTCCTCTGTACGAAAACCTCAACATCGTGGAGCAGCCCGTGAACTTGAGCGCCCTTGCACAGAAGTACGCCGAGAAGGCCACACAGTTCATCCGGCAGGCGAGGTGAGGAGCCCTGCGCCCACCCCCGTGTCCCCTGGCCCAGATGGGCTCAGAGCCGTGGCAGAGTTCCATTGCCCAACAAAGATGCACGTACGTCTCCTGGAAGAGATGCTCCTTGGAAAAGACCCTGATGCTCGGAAAGACTGGGGGCAGGAGGAGAAGGGGGCGACAGAGGATGAGATGCTTGGATGGCGTCACCGACTCAGTGGACATGAGTTTGAGAAGATTCCGGGAGTTGGTGAAGGACAGGGAAGGCTGGTGTGCTGCAGTCCATGGGGTTGCAAAGAGTTGGACACGACTGAGTGACTGAACTGCAACAAATAAAGCTGGAAAACAGCCTGTCTTGGGGCTCCAGGCCTGGGTTCCCAGGCCCTAGGTGCAGATCCATTCCCGGGGTCCTGCTCAGAGCACGCCCTAGTCATGGTCACGTGTCCTCTCTGCGGCGCGCCCCCCCTCAAGGCCGGGGCCCATCCGCTGTCTTCCGTGCGTTCAGAGTGTTTCTTGGGCTCCTGAGCTGGCAGGGCACATTCGCTGCTATCACAGACTTACCCCCAACCTATTGACTGAAACAACGGCACTTTATTCTCCTACAGATCTGGAGACCAGACGTCTGAAGTGCGTCTCATGGGGGCTCAAGTCCAGATATCAGCAGGACTGTTTCCTTCTCAAGTCTCCAGGGAGAATCGTTTCTTTTTCTTTTATTAAAAAATATTCATTTATTTTTTTGGCTGTGCCAGGCTTAGTTGCAGTGTGGGATCTAGCTCCCTGACCCGGGATTCAACCTGGGCCCCCCGCATTGGGAGGGTGGAGTCTTAGCGCCTGGACCACCGGGAAGTCCCGAGAATCGTTTCTTGTGTCTCCCAGCTTCTGGTGACTGTTGACATTTCTTGGCTGTGGTTGCATCATTCTGTTTTTTTGGCCACACCAAGGGCTTGCAGGGCCTTAGTTCCCCCACTAGGGATGGAACCCGGACCCTGGGCAGTGGAAGTGTGGCGTGCTGACCACTGGTCCACCAGGGAGCTCCCTGGCCACTCCACTCTGCTCTCTGCTCCTGTGGTCTTCTTGCCCTTATTCTTCTGTAGCCAAGAGCCTCCCCCTGCCTCCCCCTTAGGAGGACATTTGTGGTCACGTTTAGGGTCTCCTGGGCTTCTCTGGCGGCTTAGACAATAACAATCTGCCTGCAATGAGAGGCCTGGTTTCGATCCCTGCATCAGGACGATCCCCTGGAGAAGGGAATGGCCACCCACTCCAGTGCTCTTGCCTGGAGAATCCCAAGGACAGAGGAGCCTGGCAGGCTGCAGTCCATGGGGTCGCAAAGAGTCAGACACGACTGAAGCGACTAACACGTTCACACTTAGGGTCTACTAAGACAGTCCAAGAAAAGCCTCTGCTGTCAAGACCCTTAGCTTCATTGCATCTACAAAGTGCCCTTGGTCGTACAAGGTAACAGAGATTCCAGGAATTAGACCCTGGGTGTCTTTGGGGGCCGGTATTAAGTGGGTCCCTTTCCACTTGATCACACGACCTGCTCGAGATACAGACTCTGAGGGCAGCACCTTAAGCTTTAGAGGCGGCACCTTACGAGTTTTTCAGGCCTTTTCACTGGTCTGCTTGTTTCTGTATCTTCCAGATGACTGGTTTGAAGAGGGAAAATCCCTTCTCTCGCTGGGGGCTGTCTTAGCTTCACGGTGCCCTGGGGCGGGCGCCCAGTCCGTGGCTGGCGGGGCCCGTCCCCTGCCGCGTTCGCAGTGGGGCCTCCGTGCTCCTGGGGGGGTTTGGGGAATAGCAGCTAGGTGGGGGTTGACGGATGCCCCGAACAGGAAGTGGTGCTGTTCAGACCAGTTAACTGACCAGTTGAAAGGCAAGCACGTCAGTGAACAAACTCTTTGTTGTAGGAAAGAGGCGAAGCATTTGTGAGTTTATTAATTCGTTATTGAGTGAAAAGTCACATGAATCCTGTTGGCTTTTAACTTGGTGGAGAGTAATCCTCAGGCACCTGGTCTCTGTAGGACTTGACCTGCCAGGTCGCCCGTGGTTTCTGAGGAGTCAGCACACACGAGGCCCCATCTGTGTTCCTTTCTCCTCCGTGACCCCTGACCCCACCTGGACTTGTTTGTCAAAACCACTGGGGGGTCCCTGGACTGTGGTTTCTTGCCCGTGCTCAGCAAGGGTCTCACCCCAGGACTTTGAACATTTTTCCTTGGGTCTTTGCTTGAATTTAGATTCCTGACCTAGCAGGAATGCTGAAGGCTGATTCTTTTCTCTTGTTGTTTTTAAATGAAAGCATAGTTAATTTACAGTGTTGTGTTAATAGCTGTGTAGCAAAGTGACTCCATTATACATTCTTTTTTATATTCCTTTCCATTCTCGTTTATCACAGGGTATTGACTGCAGTTCCCTGTAGTCATACGGAACCGTATAGTCATAGCTCTACGGTAGGACCTTCTTGTTCATCCACCTACTTATAATAATTTGTATCTGCTAATCCCCAAATCCCAGTCCTCCTTCTCCACCCCCAGCCCCACCAGCCTGGGCAACGACACGTCTGTTCTCTGTGAACCTCTTTCTGATCCTTAGATAAGTCCACTTGTGTCACATTTTAGATTCCCCATGTAAGTGATGTTCTTTGTTGTTCAGACGCTAAGTCACATCTAACTCTTTGTGACCCCAACGGCTGTAGCCCGCCAGGCTCTTCTGTCCGTAGGATTCTCCGGGCAAGAATACTGGAGTGGGTTGCCATTTCCTTCTCTGGGGGATCTTAAAGGCTGCGGTTTATTCAGCGCTTACTCTGGGCAGTTAATAGTCACAGCTCGGCTGGGGAGGCTTGGCAGTCCCCACTGCGCTGACGACTGAGGTTAAGTGAATGGCCCAGGGTCACCCATTCACCTCTAGGAACTTCTCGTCTTCCCAGACTGAAACCCTGTCCCCATGAAACACCGGCTCCCTGTCTTCCCTTGCCCGCAGCCCCCGACAACCACCGTTCTACTTCCTGTCCGTCTGAAGCTGACTGCGCCGGGGCCGTCCTCTAAGTGGGGTCTGACCTTGCTTGTCCTTTGGTGATGGCTCATTCCATGTAGCATAATGTCTGTGAGGCTCATCCCTTGTGGGTGAGACACTGCATTCTTTTATTTCATTTTCATGAATTGAAATAGCCACACATGGTGTGGCTACGGCATTGGACAGTGAGACTATAGAAATGTAGCAAGAAAATTGTTGATTTTTTTTTTAATTTAATTTTTTTGGAGAATAATTGCTTTACGATATTGTATCGCTTTCTTCTGTACAAGTGAATCAGCTGCACCTCTGCACATTTCCTCTCCGTTTTGGATTCTCTTCTCATGTAGGTCACCACAGAATGTCAAGTAGAGTTCCCTGGGCTACACAGGAGGTCCTCCTTAGTTGTTTATTTTTTTTTTTAAGTATTTATCTCTTGTTAATCACTCAATTGTGTCCTACTCTTTGTGACCCCATGGACTGCAGCACGCCAGGCCTCCCTGTCCATCACCAACTCCTGGAGTTTACTCAAACTCATGTCCATTGAGTCCTTTCCCAGCATNGCATGAGCAGCTCGGGGCTGGCACACTGCTCCCAGCCGGGTCTGAGTCTGGACCCGGATGCAGTCACTTACGAGCCTCGGGTCCGTCTCTCAGTCTCCCTGAGCCCCTGACGCTTCATCCGGAAAAGGGAACTTGGGCCTTCTCACGAGGGTGAATTCAGACACGGTGAGTCAGTTTTGCAGTAAGTGTTAAAGAGTGGTTACGATGATGACAGTGACTCACAGACTAACCCGCTAACCAGGTCACTTCCACGTTGTCTTTGTAGGTTGTAGACAGATGTGTGCTCCCTGGGCCGCAGGGGTTCCGGGGTCTCCGCTGGGCCCCGGGGCCCTTCTGGGTGGTCACCGCCCGGCTCTCTCGTTTCAGCACCAGCGGGAGACCCTTCCTGCTGTACGTGGGCCTGGCACACATGCATGTGCCCCTGACCAGGACGCCGCCGTCAGCAGGACCCAGGAGTCTAAGGCCGTACAGCGCGGGTCTGCGGGAGATGGACCGCCTCGTGGGCCGGATCAAGGACACAGTTGACCTCGAGGGGAAAAACAACACATTCCTCTGGTTTACAGGTGAACAGAAAACCGTAGCCAGCCTCCCTCGGGGCTAATGGATAACCCTGCACGCGCCCCCAGAGAAGCAGCATCTCAGCCCGTGACCCTCTGCACCGCAGCAGGGGGCTTGCCCTGAACGTGGGGCCCCGCTGGTGCTCAGGGGCCTGTGTGCTGAGCACCTGTCTGGGGGGGTCCCCGAGGCCGCACCCCCGGACAGGCTTGCACGGAGAGCTCGGTTCCCCTGCGACCCCTCGGGTGCTGGTCAGGGTCACCTGGGTACTGCTCCTAATTGTCAACGCATGACTGACGCTGTGAGCATGTGTCGCCCCGGGCAGTCCTCGGAGCCCCGCCCCACCGCCCGCACCCCACCCAGGAACCGTGGGTCGGGGGTCGCTGTCTGCAGTGAGGGCTGTGGACATTGGTGTTTGAACCTCTGCGTTGGGAAAGTTCCTTTAGCCCCTCTGAGCCCCTCTTTCCTCCTTGGCAGGGTCGAGCCGCTTCCACCGTAGGCTGGAGGGTCAGGCAGTGATGTGTGGGAGGCACTGGCTCTTCACAGGTCCTCAGGAAGGAGCTGCTGGGGGCCTCCCTGGTGGCCCAGTGGTTAGGACTCCACGCTCCCAATGTAGGGGCGCGGGTTCGATCCCCGGTCAGGGAACTCAGGCCCCACAGGCTGTGTGGCCACAAAAGAAAAAGCGAACAGTTGCTGAGTTGAAGGCACTGGTAGCGGGACTGCTGAGTCCATAACCAGAGGCCGGACTCCTGCATGGGGCAGCCCACGTCTCTACGGGCCTGTGGGAGGCAGACGCCCTCGCCCCAAAAGGTGGCCCTCCAAGGGTCACCTCACTCTTGTTTTCACAAGTCCTTGTCTCCACTCGCGGCGAGGACGGGGGTGTGGGGCCACGGCTGGCGGTGTCCCGCAGCCCACTGACTCTGTGCTGCCTTTCCTGGTTTCTAGGGGACAATGGCCCATGGGCTCAGAAGTGTGAGCTGGCCGGGAGTGTGGGGCCCTTCACCGGATTGTGGCAGGCTCGTCGAGGTAAGGTCTCCACCGGGGGTGGGGACAGGAGACCTGACCTCTGGGAGGACCGATTTATCTCCCGGCCTTGGGCCTGTTTGTGACACAGGAACAGATTACTCACAGGCACCAGCTCCCAGAAAAGAAACAGTTTGGGATGGAGAAAGTTGGTATGCTTTCGGGCATCCCTTCCTTTCCTCCAGGGCGTTAGCCCTGCCTCAGAGGCCAGGCTGAGGGCCGTCCAGCAAACACACTTGCCTTTGCGTTCGTCCTGACGACCTTGCTCTTCCCCCTTCCTTTCTTTTCTTTCCTTTTTCACAGTCATCCCTTCATCCATTCAACCATTACTTCACTAAGAAATGGTTAGTGCACAATCATGCCAGGCTTCTGTATGTGTCGTCTCTAAACCTTCATGAGAGGCAGGTAGTAATAACTCCATTTACAGCTGAGGAAAGAGGCTCAGAGAGGCTAAGAAGCTGGCCTGGAGTCACATACTGGGGAATTCGGAGCCAGGTTGCTACCACGTTGAGTTTGCTGAGCCGCACTGCCTCTCTATTTAAACATCCTTCAGCCTCAGCTCAGCACCCATCTGCTCTGGGGCGGTCTCCCCACAGGGCCCTCAGCCTCTGAAAGGCAGTGCTGCGGGGGACAATTCGAGTACGGATGAAAGTCTTAAACAATATGCATGACGGACGGTGCTTTGATTTCTCTTTTAAGAATTTGTTTTCAAGAAATAGTTAGCCAAGTGCTCAACAATGTATGTAAGAGAATGCTCATTGCTGTCGATTTAAACAAACACACACACACGTAACCCAAGTGTCCAGCGAGACAGGAGTGCTGCAGGGAGTCGTGGCACAGGCATCTAAGAAACACAAGGAGCCACCGAAAACGGTGCCTCTGACTCACCTGGAAACAGTGACATGAAATACTTTCCAGTGAATAACGCAGGTCACAAAACCATATGTAAAGTGTGATCTTACTGTCTAATGCTAAGTATATGTAGTCTCAGAAAAGTCTCCACAGACGCAACAAAACGCGAGGCAGTGGTTGCCTCTGGGTGGTGGAGGAAGCTTTTTTACAAAATAATTTTGTGTGTGTATTTATTTTTGTCTGGGGTGGGCCTCTGTTGCTGAGCAGGCTTTTCTCTAGCTGCAGTGTGTGACCTTCTCACGAGTGGTTTCTGTTGTTGCAGAGCGTGGGCTCCAAGCGGGGCTCCACGTGGGCTGGGGAGTTGGGGCGCACGGGCTTAGCTGCTCCAAGGCCTGTGGGGTCTTCCCAGACCAGGGATCAAGCCCGCGTCTCCTGCACTGGCAGGCAGATCCTCTAATCTGCAGCCATCACCCAGAGAAAGCCAGCGCCGCCGGGAGTGGTTCCTGGGCTCACTGGGGGCAGACCCTCTTCTCTGTCCTGATGTGCCCTCGGGCCGGGTGCCGTCCTCAGTCAGAGGGGACTGCGATCACTTCACTCTCAAGGGTGAAAATCCTGCCCGCGTGGAGGCCAAGGTTGAGGGGACACGACTGTAGGAAGCGGTCCCTCTCTGGGAATCTTTCTGTTCCCTAAGAAGGTGACCTCTGACCTCCTGTCTGAGGACCTGTCTCATCTTGTCTCTTAGGAGGCAGTTTTAAACCAGTGAACCGGGCTTGCAAATATGTTGTAGGGAAGAGAGAGGAGGAACTTATAAATGGAAAGAGAAGAGACACAGAGTCGGGCGCGGTGCGGAAGGGACTCTGAATCATCATTAGAATGAACTGTGAGCGCTGAGCCCCTTCAGTCGTGTGGACTCTCTGTGACCCCCTGGGCCGCAGCCCACCAGGCCTCTGTCCATGGGAGTCTCCAGGCCAGGACACTGGAGTGGGCTGCCACGCCCTCCTCCAGGGGATCCTCCCCACCCAGGAATCAAACCCGAGTCTCCTGAATTTGCTGGCGCGTCCTTGACCACTGAGCCCCAGGGAGTGTCCGTCCGTCCATGAATGGATGGGGAAGATGTGGTGTTTGTGGGTTTATACATGAGGCCATGTGCTATGTATATCAAATTCTTCACAAGGGAAAAGAAGGCTTTTTCTATGATCTCGTAGCTATATGAGATGGCGAGCGGTCACTGAACTTACTGTGGTCATCATCTCCTGGTGTGGGAGTCAGAGCTTTGTGTGTTGGCCTTAAACGCATCCTCTCACCTCTGCTGAGTCCCCCAAAGTTTCATCACCCCAAAGAAAACCCACACACACACTGCGAGCACTCACCGCCTCTCGCCCGCTTCCCCAGGCACGGGGTTGAGCTGTGAAGGCTGAGATAGGGGGTGCAGCCAGGGCTGGGGCCAGCACGAACCTCGTTTCTACCGAGTCAGCTGATGAATAGGGGTCGTGTTCAAACAGTGCCGGCTCAGAGGCTCAGCCGTCTCCCCCCGCCCCGCCCCCAGCCGCCTTAGAGGCCCAGTGAGGGGCCCGCAGCCTGAGCAGGGTAGGGGCTTCCCCGGGGCCACCGATCGAGGGGACTGCAGGGTCTGCCCAGCACCCGGCTCACCTCCACCCACGTGCTTGTCATCCCTGACCGACTGCCCCAACGCATGGAACACCCTGCCTGTCTTCTTTGCCCACTGTGGTCGTCCAGGAGACTCCGGTTTTGACTGTCTGAGTGCTTCTGAATCCGTGGGCTGCAGAGTGGGAAGGTGGAGAGGGGCCTCCAGGAGCCGGGGTCCGACTCAGCTGAGCATCTGGTGCCCGAAGGCCTGGGCCCTTCCAGCCCAGGGTCCCCCTCTGCAAGTGGTGGAGACCCACCTTGCGGGGTGGCGGGAAACTCTGCCCTGAGGCTGGGGCTCCTTCGTGTTGAGATAACAGCCTTGGGAGGGGGTGGCACGGCCTTGCCCGGTCTGGCTGCGTCTCCGTGGGACGCAGCGCTTGAGCATGCGGTGGGGCCGGGCGCCTCTGCTTCTCTCGGGGGGTCACGCAGGTGCCCCTGGCCGTGGGCTGAGCTCTGCCCCGACCTCGACCTCCGCATCGGCTCCCCGCCACCCTGGCCGCAGCTGTCTCCCTCCCCTCTGCCCAGGACTCTACAGGGGGCTCCGGGGGGCCAGGCAGGGCCCAGGTGGGGGGGGTGTGGCCAGGGTCCCGCTGGGCCACCGGCTTGTCTTCAGGCAGGTGCCTGGTCAGTGGGGGCCTGTGTGTCCTGCTGGGAGCGGGCCCGTCCCGAGGGTCGATGAAACCGAGAAGACGGTCCATGTTTTCACAACGGAGTGGGACAAACAGTACCCGGAGCGCCGCCCGCTCCCCCGCCGCCAGCCCAGGACGGCAGGCCACGCGCTGGCGCCCCCTCCCCGTCCTCCCTTCCTCTCCTGGCCCGGGCGGTGCTCAGCTGATGGGATGAGGCAGCGTCTCCTGGAGCGGCGTTTCGTCCCGTGCTGGGCGAGGATGCTGCGTGGGGCTTGGCCGGCTCCCCGCGGGGGTGAGAGGCTGAGCCGGGGGCAGGGGGCACCTCAGAGTGCCCTGGCCTCCCCCAAGCAGAGGGGCCCAGGGCACGGGCCGCTGCTGAACCTGAACACCCCCACCCTGCGTCGCAGCAGCGGCCCTCCCTCCCCGCTCCAGACCTACTTCCTCTTCGGGACTGAACTAGCACCTTGTTTGTCCCCTAACGGACGGCTTCTCTGTCTGGAAAATCTTTCCTTGTTTTATTTGAAGAGCAGAGCTGTTCCTTCCTCCCCCTGGTGATGAGGAAACATGCTGTTGAGTTTGGCATCCTCGCCTTCTGGGAGACCTTGGTTGTAACGCGATGCTATCAGGCGCTTACATAACCTTTCCCACTGGGAAGCTGGCTCTGCCGCCTGGGCTGTCTGTCCCGTGGGGGGCGGGGAGGCGGGCAGGGGTGAGAGGGGATGTGGGGGGTGGTCAGGGGTCAGAGGGAGTACGGGGGTGCAGAGAGGGGGTGCGGGATAGGGAGGATGCTGGCAGCCGGCCCTGCTGGGACCAGTGGGAGTCAAGTGATGTCCCCTGTGGGCCACTGGCCACCAGGCTCAGAACGCCCCACCCCGCTCACGGCCACCCCGGGAGTGTTGAGATAACAGCCTTGGGAGGGGGTGGCACGGCCTTGCCCGGTCTGGCTGCGTCTCCGTGGGACGCAGCGCTTGAGCATGCGGTGGGGCCGGGCGCCTCTGCTTCTCTCGGGGGGTCACGCAGGTGCCCCTGGCCGTGGGCTGAGCTCTGCCCCGACCTCGACCTCCGCATCGGCTCCCCGCCACCCTGGCCGCAGCTGTCTCCCTCCCCTCTGCCCAGGACTCTACAGGGGGCTCCGGGGGGTCAGGCAGGGCCCAGGTGGAGGGGGTGTGGCCAGGGTCCCGCTGGGCCACCGGCTTGTCTTCAGGCAGGTGCCTGGTCAGTGGGGGCCTGTGTGTCCTGCTGGGAGCGGGCCCGTCCCGAGGGTCGATGAAACCGAGAAGACGGTCCATGTTTTCACAACGGAGTGGGACAAACAGTACCCGGAGCGCCGCCCGCTCCCCCGCCGCCAGCCCAGGACGGCAGGCCACGCGCTGGCGCCCCCTCCCCGTCCTCCCTTCCTCTCCTGGCCCGGGCGGTGCTCAGCTGATGGGATGAGGCAGCGTCTCCTGGAGCGGCGTTTCGTCCCGTGCTGGGCGAGGATGCTGCGTGGGGCTTGGCCGGCTCCCCGCGGGGGTGAGAGGCTGAGCCGGGGGCAGGGGGCACCTCAGAGTGCCCTGGCCTCCCCCAAGCAGAGGGGCCCAGGGCACGGGCCGCTGCTGAACCTGAACACCCCCACCCTGCGTCGCAGCAGCGGCCCTCCCTCCCCGCTCCAGACCTACTTCCTCTTCGGGACTGAACTAGCACCTTGTTTGTCCCCTAACGGACGGCTTCTCTGTCTGGAAAATCTTTCCTTGTTTTATTTGAAGAGCAGAGCTGTTCCTTCCTCCCCCTGGTGATGAGGAAACATGCTGTTGAGTTTGGCATCCTCGCCTTCTGGGAGACCTTGGTTGTAACGCGATGCTATCAGGCGCTTACATAACCTTTCCCACTGGGAAG